AATTTGTTTTTATATTCTATAAATGAACGGATACTTTATAATAATACATAATTACTAGACAAATTTCCTTTTTATAGGTTATTAACTCTTTGATATCCTCATTTATTACTTTGATATTTCTCAAATCTCAGTTTAATAATAAGTTTTTACAGGTAGAGATTTATAACGCTATAGAATTCTATTCGAAATCATTTAACTTTAACAACATAAAAATAGGCATTTGATTGATAGCAAGCAATATTAAAATTAATTAATATTTAATTATGGGACATTTTTCCTTTCTCTCCCTCTTCGTACATCTAATAAAACGACTTTCAATTTTATAGATTTATCTGAAGCGATATTAAATACTAACACATTTCATGGGTAGATCTTTCATTTTCTGTGTCAAAATTGACGTTTAGGATCGAACTAACGACTTAATTTTTAATAAATTAGCTCTTGTAATCTTCATTTTTTTAATAAAAAAGGAAAATTTATGAAGGAAAATCACGAAATGTACATTACTTAACGTAGATGACTACAAGTCGACCCCCCTATAACACTGTTGATTATTCCGTTTTATATGAATTCCATGTTGTACGAGTCACTTAGATTTTACAAATACGTGTGCTGGGCTGTGAATGGCTCACAGCCATTTACGAATTTGTAAAATCTAAGTGACTCGTACAACATGGAATTCATATAAAACGGAATAATCAACAGTGTTATAGGGGGGGTCAACTGGTATCGAATTTTATAAGGGCGAAAGACTAGTAATAACTGATCTACAAATTTATTAATATAATTATTTCTCGTATACGAAACTGGTTCTAGATTTATTAAACTCTTGCAATAGCTTTAAACACGACAATTATTTGATTTTATTAGTCCATTTGCCTATAATTTCTTAGGATTAAAGACTTGGAACTGACTTAATCCAATCTTAAATTATTATTATTATATGACGTAAAAAAATAATAATAAATAAATAAATAAATATGGCAAATTTAGGATGAAGTCTAGACTGATATTTAACTAATAAATGTCATTTTGTTATTAGGAGAAAGTGATAATTAATATTTGATCGTGAGTCATAGTAAACTAACGAAAGAGATGTTCGTATACTCGTCATCTAATTACTGTTATTAGTTCATTGAAAGGATGTAACAAGAAAAATAGCAGCTATTAGTTCATTTCTTCACATTAGTTTCCTTCATCGGGAAATGACTTTCCTCTTTTTTGATAGTTTATCTACAAAGTTCCTTGTAACTCATTCATGAAATGTAAGGAAACTATAGACGTAAACGTACAATAAAACATAAGGTTTTAATAGCCAAATACTGTATATATAAAAACCGGATTATTATTATTTTTTTAATGCAGATATACGCTAAGTAAAAGGTAAAAAAGATCATGAAGAATTCAGTAAAGATCCAAATCAGAGATCTTTGCCAGCAAAACATTCCATATTCCTAACAAAATATATGGAAATTTTCTTTTAAAAATAACAGAATAGATTAATTTTAATCTTCCTAAATCCACACGATGCCATTTATTCTACCGATTTGGGTGTTTAACACCATTAAAATGGAAGAAATGACTCTTTATTGCTAACCGAATTCTACTTCAGTTAGCGAGTAAAAAACTTAATCCGGTTAAACTTTATCGTCGAAGTTAACTTCTTCGTAAACGTCTTCAGATATCTTTAAAAATATGTCTTAAATCTTGTGAAAGTTTGGTCTTTTTTTATAAAAGACGTAATATCTAAATGGATAATTCTAGTAAATCTGTCAAAGAAAATACCAATAGATCCATTAATATTAAAATAAGAAAAGTTTTATATATATATATTTATATAGGCCTATATATTCTTTTGAGTTTTATATTTTCTTATAAGACTTATAAAAAATTGAATTCGTTAATAAATAGTCAAGTAGGGCCTACTTCTATATGCATTGCCTACATAAGAGAAGTGACAGAAGAAATTCCAAAGGAAGAACTCTGCCAGCAATAAAAAGAGTCATTCATTTGTCCACGAGTCATCTGAGGAAAGTGAAGGGAGACAGACTGGAAACGGATCGATCCAGACACTGTGACAATTTTAGAACACTTCCGTCGTGTGGCTAATCTCATATATAATTTCTTTCTATACTTGCTTCTGTTACTTGCAGTTTTTTTTTTTTTTTTCTTTATGGGGGGAGAGAGACTTTTTAAATATTATGCTTTTTGAAACTAATCTAACTTTCAAATATTTAAACAAAGTTTCTGGCGACAGGAAGGAGAGAGAGAGAGAGAGAGAGGGAAGAGGAAGAGGAAGAAAAAAAAATCTCTCTTCTAATAAATTAAAACAAATATTAAATATAAAAATTATCAACTAAATTAGAGAGATAGTAAATTAAAAAATAATCAAATTTTAACTTTAATAAAGAACTTTTTATTATTATTATTTTTATTTTTTCTTTCCTCCTTCCTGAAAAATCGATCGACTTCGTCATCTAGAAATTTGTATCAATATGAAATGAAATGAGCTTGTTAAATTAATAATATTAAGTTTAAAACAATAATTTGATCGTGTTTTCTTGTGGATAAAGCTTGTAACGTTGTACTTCTCGATACGTTTCTCCTTTAACTCCCATTTTAAATAGCCACAAACTTATACAGTCGACCCCCTATAACACTGTTGATTAATCCGTTTTATACGAATTCCATGTTGTACGAGTGACTTAGATTTTACAAATACGTGTTCCGGGATGTGAACAGCTCATGTATTTGTAAATTCGAAATGACTCGTACAACATATAATTCATATAAAACGGAATAATCAACAGTGTTATAGGGGGTCGACTGTATAGGCCTATATATATAGACATTACTTCTTACCACAAACAGGGGCAATATTTATTGTTAAAATTTTGAAATGCAAAGTGTCTGAAAGCTTTCCTCAAATAGATATTTAATTATGTTGTAAGTAACAATTTGAGGAAAGTTTATCAAATAGACTACATTTCTTAATACAAGAAGGAAGTTTTCCATTATGAATTTTGATAAAAATTATCAATCAAATAGAATTAATAATCCGTTTAATTACAAACAAATATGATGTCTTTTTTTTTTTTCCTGTATTCAATTCAGAAAAGAAATTCAATCTACGAATTTGATGCAGATTATGCTAATTATTAATTGTGAATTTAAAGAAACGTATCCTGCTTATGCCCTACAGCAAGAATTTAATTTAGTTTAAATTATTATCATGAAATCTCAATTATAAATATTGAAATTCTATTGAAAAATTTAATTTTTAAAGCTTTATTTCTGAACAAATTTTCCATGCCAATATGATAATACCTTATTGTAATATATGGAGGAAAAGAAAAGCAATTAAAACATTATTTTTGCAGAAAAAAATATGAAAAATTTTCTTATATTAGACAGGTTGCGGCCGACGTTTTCATCTCTCAAACGTGAACGTCGAACGTCGAGCGCCGCTTACAAGATAGCGGCACTCGACGTTCGACGTTCACGTTTTACAGATGAAAACGTCGGCCGCAACCTCGCTAATAGCTAGTAAAATAAATATTATTTTAAGTAATACCATTTTTAAAAGTATTCCTATATTTTCCTGTACTTCATTCACGTAATTATTCGTGTTTTTCGTCATTGAAACCATGCGATAAATGCTAGAGAAATATTCGCTTCGTGTACCTAAATATATTCCATCTATCCTACTGAGATCGGGTGTTAACTCCATTAGGTGAATAGTATCAATTCCTTAATTGGATCGTTAAATGAGTTTAGCGCTTCTCTCCCTTCACAAATGAAAATAACCCAACAAAATAAACTTTTATCATCATAAATGGAGTGTTTCTATCTAGAATATTTGACAATTAACAAAGAATTAGAACATTAAAAAAAAACAAGTTTATTAGAAGAATTAACTGGTAAAAAAAATTCATGTTAAAAAAGAGGACATGTCCGGGAAAAAGAGGACGTATGTATCCCAACTGTATACTGTTTGCGTAGGTGTGTGAGCGTGTAACGTATATTATATACGATTTATTTTAATATTACTGAGTTGTACGAGAAAATAGAAACATAAATTACTACGTTTAACTTACTTTCTAAAAATACAATCATGTTAATTATCTTCCTTTCCTGTAATTCTCCGGCTAAAGAATAGAAAAATTGCAATAAAGATAAATTAGAATATATTAAAGTTTTTCTTTTATAATTGGAACAATATTTTTCCGAATATTATTGATATTTCTTGATTATTTTAAATCGATTCGACGAATTTATTTCGTTAAATTTATTATTTTGTGTGTGTTTTAATTGACCATTTTGTATCAAAGTATCCAATTTGAAATGCCATTTTATGTTTTAAGACGGCCATTTTGAGGGAGCCATTTATCTTAAAATGTCCATTTTTAAAATATAACACGCATTTCTTAAATGGATTCACGTTAGAAAGTAAATGCCATCAATTATATTCTTTATAACTGGTTGCGCGTTAAAAAGGGAAATTGCCTGCGGTTCCCTACCAAGAAGGGGCCACGAATTAATCTTTTATAAGATATTTTCCGAAGAAAAATGCCTGAAATCAACACTATACGTGGGTCCTCTTAATGGTACCACACGAAGTTATAACGCGCCATTTGTTTATAATACAGTCGACCCTCTATAACACTGTTGATTATTCCGTTTTATATGAATTCCATGTTGTACGAGTCACTTAGATTTTACAAATACGTGTGCCGAGCTGTGAACGGCTCACGTATTTGTAAATTCTAAGTGACTCGTACAACATGGAATTCATATAAAACGGAATAATCAACAGTGTTATGGTGAGGTCGACTGTACTTAAAACATAGAGCGTGACGGACAGACACTGAAAGTTTAATTTCTCTCTATTATAGTAATTAAATGTTTAATACTTAACAGTTATAACATTTATTGAAATTTATAAACTTATGTCGATTGATAGATATAATGCTTTTTATGTATTTTGGTCTACATTTTAGGACTTCCTCACCAAATATGGTTATCTACCACAATCCGATCTCCAGACGGGGAATCTTCGAACCGAAAGTCAATTAAAAGAAGCCATTAAATTAATGCAGAGGTTCGGAAACATTCCACAAACAGGGGTGATAGATGATATGACGCTGAAGTTGATGAAGAGAAAGAGATGCGGAGTGCCCGACTTGATAGGCACTTCCGAAAGGGTGAAGAGATACGCCCTACAAGGCCAGAAGTGGCCAAAAACTAATTTAACATGGAGGTATTGTTTCCTTTTTATTTTTTATAATGTTTTCACTAGGTTATAAGATTTTAAAATTTATTATGTTTATGCTTAATTACATAGAAGTGTGGAGTAATTATGTAGTTGTTCATTGATCTAGCGAAATATTTTCTTTAATATAGAGTTATAATATTTCGGTTTTCTCAGTTTTTTTTTTTTTTTTTTTATTTCTAAAGACTAAATTATTTCTTGGGAATGGCTCATTTTCATTATGTAAATATGTTTGTAAACGTTCTGTAAGAAAGTGATTTTCATTCCCATCTGTATCCAATACATTTCTTAAATATAGATTCACAATATTTATTAAACACATTTTATCTGTATTTGCTTTCTTGTTTGACATTTCGCATTCAAATATTTAACTAATAAATATAATTCTTTGCCATAAAATACCGGAATTCTTAGTAAATTCACTCCCTGTCTTACAAGTCTCTGAAAACTTTTCTAATCATTTCTACTAGTTTTTTTTTTTTTATTTCCTCCCTTTCTATCAAAATCCAAACTGTCTCGCCGTCATAAAGATTCTCAATCATATTTCAGAAGCTGACAACGTAAAGAATAATTCCTTTCACATTCTTCTATCCACAGTGTATGGAACATATTAACCTTAGTGACAGCCAAGTGACCGCTGTCATAGTTGTCGACCTGATTTTCTATCGCCAACCTACTTTTGTCACCAAAGAAAATGCGGTGTGTGTGACAGGTCCGTGAGTTTTGCCATAGTCCTTCTTTCCCCTTCCCCCCCCCTTTTTTCCATTGAAGCCAACTGCTTGATTCATTATGGACTGTGAGATAAAGCAGAAATGTCAAACACGGACTTAATAAAAACATATATATCGATATCTATATTTAGTGTTTTTCTATTAAATGTATTTATCAATAAAACGATAAAATTAAATCTATATTCCTATATGAAATTCTGTAATGATTCCATAGTAATTGTTACTACAAATCGGTACCCTATCGTAGTTTGTTTATATTGAAAAAACCGAGCTAACCGGTGGTCTTGGAAATTGTTTTATGTTTGATTGTATATAACCAAAACGGAAAGTGGTCCGTCGATTGAGATATCGCAGGACCGACTCGTTTCTTATCAACATTGTAAGTTGTAATGTAGGCCGTGCAATTGGAGTAGAGTCTTTGGAACGACCCAAGGGTTTGCCCATTGGTCCTCCTATAAATTTGTTTACGTTTAACCGGTCGTAAGGATTTTCTTACCAGGCTTTCGCCATCGCCGAAGGACGATTTAGGACGGGCTTAGTTTGCTTTATTTATTTGAACTCCTTCCCCTATAACGGCACTTCACAAGAACTTTATTGTTACAAAGTAGGAGAATGCATTACAAAGTGTAGCTATTTTTTTTTTTTTTTTTTTTTTTCGTAAATTCTGAAATGTTTTTCGATTTATTTAGGTAATACTATCAAAATTTGAAGTGTAATCTCCACTTAGATTTATTTAAATTTTATTTATCCAATTCAAATAATTCACAATAACTGAAAAGTTATATAAAATTAAAATTTGAATTAATCTGTTTTATATGAACTCCATGTTGTACGAGTCGCTTAGATTTTACAAATACGTGAACCGTTCACAGCCCGGAACACAAATTTGTAAAATCTAAGTGACTCGTACAACATGGAATTCATATAAAATGGAATAATCAACAGTGTTATAGGGGGTCGACTGTACTTTTTCTTTTGTAAAACATATCTTTAAATGTTTTTAAAATGCATTTTTAACACCTTCTATAAATTTCCTCTCATAAAACTTAATTTCATCGATAAAACAACATTCGTATCTAAATTTTAAAAAAAAAAAGCAATAACTTTTATCTATTACGATCACGTCTTTCTTTTTCTTTAAAGCTAATTCATACTTGGTGGGTATTTCTGGTTAAGTTATTATTACTGTGTTATTTGATGTACACCCTTTATTATATTGTGTAAGATAAGGCAGTCTAGTCTAGGTTTTATTTTTTATCAGCAGTAGAAAATTAACATGTGTAAAAACCTTTTTTTTTTTTCGACAATTCTCTCCGGTTTTCCAGGTATAGGGACACTCACCTTAACATCTAATCTGCATTTGCCTGACCCCTGACATTTTCTGTTCTGTCATCACTAATTCATACCGTGCTGTCAGGCGTCTGGATAGACAATTCACTTGACTCGTCAGCATTATCTGAGAATTTTTACTTTAATATAACATAGAAATCTTCTCAGCTTTTAAACTTATGAATCATTACGTTATTGGAGTTGTATTATTATTATTATTATTTTGAATAACCTTATCACGAATGTTGTTTATGTTATCTTATGTTTGTGTAAACAATACTTGACAGAATTTATCATTTAAGGTTTAAATTATGTGATAAATTAATACTTTAGTGAAATTTTCTTTCGTTAAACTATCAAATTAAAAGTATAATCGCTAAATTTTTATCATAACAAATTGATATTTTCATCACCAATTGCTCCGTGGATGATTAACGAGTTTTGTATTATAGTTTAAGAATACTATCGTGTGTCCGTCCGTCTGTCTTTCCTTAATCTACAGAATGGAATTAGATAGATGAAATTCGAGATCAAATATGGAAACCTTAGGGACAAAAGGCCCCAATTAACTATATAAGAACACCCGATACAAAACGGAAATGATGTTATTTCAATTCAAAAATTCTCTCCCGAAAGGTGTAGATAGATGGCCGGCACGACCCTATTGTTAAAGGAAAAATATGATGTACAGGAGCAAGCCACTACTAATTTGAGATGGAGAGCATATATTTTCAATTATATAGAGTATTTTTGAACTGTAGTGTAAGTTAGGAGGAGAAAGTATTTTAAAAAAAAGACTCCCAAATTTATCTAGTTTGAAGAACAAACTGGCAAGAAGATTGTTAATTTTACTATTTTATTTTTCTCTCGTAAGGGGCCATCTCGCCCTTATTTATTATTCAGCTAGAAGAGGATATGTTAGCTTATCGTGTTTTTCACTAATACAAGAAAGTTCGATTCTCTCTCAGGGCAAATTCCTTCTTTCTTCCTCTCTGGTGGTCCCTCTTAGTTCTTTGAGTTGTGAGAGAGAGTTAATTAATGAACAATAACAATGATTCCATATTACAAAGAACTTCACGGAAGAAAAGGAAAGGAGTGTAATTGCTAAACTGATAAATAAACGATTTCTTGACTGGGAATTGAATCCAAATCTTCTGATAGAAACTCATTTCGAGATCATCGAACGGACATGTTATATATATATATATTTATTTTTATTAAACGGTACAGAAATAATAAAATAAATAAAAGAATTTTTCTTCCTAATGGTATACGTATGAATAAATATATTTCTCCACTTAAAACTCCTAAAACTGTTCTCTTTAATAATTTCACTAATTAGTAAATCGTGCTTGGGAGTTTGCTTTGCTTATTAAACTTTTATTCGTAATGATAACAAGTGGAGAATCTCATTAGTGGCAAATTTTAATATGTTTTAGGAAGTCGTAAAGTTTATAAGTTTCCTCGGATAGAAAAATAAGCAATAAAATTGCCAAGAATACGAAAGAAAAATTGACCAACTTCCTTAACTTTGAAGTACGTGAAAACTTTAGTTATGCACGAATTATTAAAGCAAGTGTTTCCTTTTGGCTAAACGGACAGCAAACGAGGTCGAGGACTAATCTGAACACTGGGAATGAAGGGATAGGATGTTGCTAATCAACCATTCATTACCGGTGGAGTAAAGCAACGTCCACACAACACAGATAAGACATATATATATAATGTTACTAACCTTTCACCGCTCGATATATAAGGCAACTATTCCAATCTGAAGAGGGGGGGAACAAAAAAAAAACAAATCATTGTTCCGACGGATCAATCTATAATAAAAATTATCAACGTCCTCGATAAACAGTGACAATCGCTGTTTGTTTAGCTGCATTATAAAAGTAAATACTGTGTAAGTTGGATCAAAGATCTGATCGTTTCCTGTCTTGTCCCCCAGCTAAAACAACACCTCTCTGTCTAATACAAACGTCCCAGCTGCTGTAGATACAGTTAGGACCAGACAGGCATTATCAAAGTGAATTGCCTTTTGTGGACTAGGTGGGTGTTACGGTATAAGAGAAATGAGATCATCCCCCACACCACTACCAGATCAATTAAAGAAAAGCTTCGATATTATTATTATTATTTTTATGTCTTTTTAAATGGTCGGAACTACACTTAATGCAGTTTTATTATTTCGATAGTGATTTTTCTTTTCTTTAAGGAGGGTTTGGACATTTATATTCTGGTGAAAACTATAACCTCACATTTCTCAGGATTCTTCCACTTCAATCATGTGATCTAATAATAAAACGTGTGAAGCGGACAAGTAGACGACACTCGTACAATCGAGTTATTAACCGATATAGATGAGTTATTGGTTAAAGCCATTAAACGAAAGGAAAGTTCTTCCGCTCTTCTCCAACTCTTTCATAACTTCGAAAACCGTAGAATATATATATATATATATATATTAATGCCGATCGAATTACATTCCATCTTTCGATTAAATTAATAATAATGAAAAAAAAAATCTTTCGAGTGAAAGATGAATTTTATGCTTTAAAAAAAAGAAGAAGAAGAACTTTGAAATTTGATAACGAAAGTTTCAGAATTTTGTTGTTTTGGTCGACGTTTTAATTATTGAGAAAAGTTGTATTTAATCTTTCGTTATAATCAGTTTTTCTGAATCTATTGTAAGTTAAATCTACGTTCCTAGTAATCTAGTTTTACTGCCAGTTCCACCTTCAAAGGAAACAACGTCGAACAGCTTTTAGACGCCCACTTCCTGCACTAGTTAATCGTTGCAGATCAATTCCAAAAGAAAAAAAAAAGAAAGAGAATTTTCTTTTCCATAAAGGGGAGGCGCACGTTGTAACAAAAATCTTACCACTTCCTATAAGGAAATTAATTATATCGAAGGCACGAAAATGTTCC